TTGATTGCAATATAATAATTTTTGTGACGCATTTCTTGAGTCTTATTAGCTTTTTTTTTTCCAGTTATATTATTTGCATTTATCTTTCCACATAGTATAATTAATAACTAAGTAGTAAATAAATAAATTAAAGGTACTGTCCTGTGTTTTCATCTTCTGTATTGATTCCTAATTAAATGTCCATTTGATTTTTAGAATGAAAGGTTATTCTTGTCTTATTGGAATATTCACTGTAACTGTTAACCAGAACCTCCTTTTCTGAGATCTGATGACCCAAATATTAAAGTGAATCCAGGCTCATTGTAGGGGAAGTAACTAATCAAATGTGTATTGTACAATTAGAGTGTTCTTTTAATGTACCTCTGTAATAATAGTTTTCATTGTGTTAATTAAGTTAATATTTGTAGCTATTAAAGAAAGTTTAGTTATGATGTATGCAGCTTGAAACTTTTGCCATGACTGTTTATGTGTTGTGTGTACATGAGCAAGACATGCATAAAAACTGTTTTACCCAGGTTCTGTACAGGGGGCTGAAGGCTGTGTTGTGAGGGTTTAGAAGATGGACAACAGAGAGTAGATTTTGGGAGTTCTCATCTTTTCCTAGTTTTCATTTGGGCTCTTGGCAAGGTTGTTCCTGTTGGAAACTTTTAGCCAGTGGGAAGCACTTTCAGTTGTATGTCTCATGACTCATTGCACCATTGTCCCTTCCTGACTGCTCAGTTTGAGCCCAGAGTTGACATGCCCTTCAGAATAAATTGTTAGTATTATTAGCAGGAATATTATTAAATATTCATGTTAATAGTTACTGCAACTATTGTCCTTTTAATCTGGAAGGGGAAATGGCCTAATGATGAGGTTGTGATCCTAACAACCTAGACATGGTGCTATGAAAATGTAACATGCCTGGAAAATACTGCTTTCTGTTGCACATTGGACCCTTAAGCTTCTGGGAGTCAAAATTTAGCTTCTTTAATTTATTGTTTCTTTTGCAAGATCTTTCTCATTTCTTGTTTTCTTAGCCTTTTCATCTGCTTCACATGCAGCATGCTGTTTAAAATGGTTTCTTGTCTTTATGCTGTGAATATAATTTCAATGTTCTCTGCTCTAAAGGTTTTTCTTTTACATGGAGTTCTGTGTACCAAGAGATTGTGAGTCTTATCTCTTGTTTGTTTACTTTGTAGTTCTTTTCCTTTGGAAAAACTATTTTTTTCTTTACTGGCTATTGAGATTTATTTTGCAGCTATTTTAAATTAATCCACCAAATAAGGTGTGGGGTTTTTTTTTGTTTGTTTTGGTTTATTTTTGTTGTTTTCTCTTTTTTGTTGTTGTTGTTTTTTTTAAATTTAATCTGAAGAAATACATATACATTAACATTTTGATTTGTAAATGAAACTTTTTTTTTAGTATCCCATTCTTTTTTATTTTAGAGGTAATATATTTTTTGCACCTTTGATGTACCTCTTCTCCCCTCGTTTCAATACAAGTAGACAAATGCAATCTAGAAATAAAAACCCAGATAGTTCTTTGTAAGTTCTTCTATTTCCCTACTTAAGTTCAGTGGCTCATTCATCCACAGGGTATTTATGTAAGAAGCTGGAGATGCCAAAACCTGATTTATTCTGTTAATAAATGCTTTGTTTCAGATGCTTTGATAATGCTTTCATCTCAGAGATTCAGTCTCTCATTTTTAAGCTTTAAGAGAAAATAGGGACCACTGTTTTTTAAATTCTTTTTAATTCTGTAGTTTTCATAGATATGTAGATATAATATTTCTTCAAAGGTTGATTTGATGAGCAGTTACTGTTTAAACTTAAATGAATACTCTTCTGTATTTTTGGTTTGAGACACTGAAATACAATTCCTGATGTTTTTTCCTCTTAGCATGTGAAACAATTCCACATTTAGTCTGTACAGACAGGCAACTTTTCTGTATTTCTGCTGGTGGTGACAGTGACTACTAATCAGTTACTAAACTAAAGTCCTTTTTATTTTCACTTATCTGAAAGTATATTTACTGTTGTCTTATATGTTTCCCCCCTTTTTAGGATAAAGCCTGTCTGGAGAACATACTTTCAGAGTAAAGTTTAATATCCGAAGAAATACTGTACCTGTTAATTTGAATGCATTTTCTTTGTCAAGCTCTGGGCCTGAATTATAAAATGTAGAAATCTTTGGTAAAGTTTGCAGCTGATGACTGAAACAGGAGGACAGTGGTTGAAATGATAGGTTAACTGCTCAGCTGTGTGGAACAGTTAATGAAATAGTTGGAAGGAGATCATAAGGTTACCTTCAGTAGATCAGGTCAAAAGTTCTAACTTACCAATATCTTGTCACTCTGGAGGCATGGAACAAGTAGTACAAGTACTCATTTAGTATATTTATATGCCTTTACTGGTTTGCAACTTGAAGACTTTGCCAGCCACAGTCTGTGTTTGACATGCTTTGAATTCTTTGTCAGTTGATTTATCCAATTTCTGTCTAAAATCCCTGTTAATCTTAGTAACTTATTACTTGTAACTCAGGATTTGTGTCTGTTTTGTGAAAAGTGATGTGGATCCTTCTTCAGCTTGTTATTTGTAAATTCCATTTGCTCCCTCCAGTTTATTGCAGTAAATCATTCAAGTGATCATCCCTCTTCATGTCCTTGTACCTTTTGTGTCCCGTGTTAATCATTTTCTAATGTGAGTATATTATAATGTAGGTAAATACAGGGCGGTGAGTCTGGGAAAGGGATAAGTTGTTCACTATTAGGGAGGAGATGATGGTGATGTCCTGAAGGCAGGGATTTGAGGATTTAGGGTCTGGCATAGCTCTATAGCAAGACTGCTGATGTTATATAACATGAACTGAGTAAGGAGTGTAGAGTGAGCGTGGATGTCAGAAGTTGTCCTGTGATTGTAAATCATATTTTAGTGTTTGCTGTCATGCTAAAAATTTTAGACTAAAAATATATTTTAAATTGATGCTTCTTAAACCATTTTATGGAAGAGTTTTTTTGCACATGAAAGTTTTTGTGTTTTTCCAATACTGAACTGCTGGCATATGCATAACTCTGGTCCCTACTTCCTGTGCTGTAAAAGAATTGCATTGCAGTGTCAGGGATCTTGACAGTATATTGTGTTCTTCCTTGTTGGATAACTTGATTCAGTTCTCAACTCCTAACCTCACTGATTTCATGCTGTCTTAGGGCCTGTACATAATAGGGAGCAGGTGAAACAGGTAAATTATTGGGTGCTTTCAGGTCAGGTATGTCAGTTTTAAGAATGTCGGTGTCTTTTGATTAGTTATTCTGTGTTAAAAAACCTAACAACCTGGATCTGAGATTAGATGATGCCATGGTCAATCTTAATTTCTGTGAAACTGAGTTTATTTTTTTGACTGTCTTACTTTTTTCCTGGTCTGCATCTTTATGTATACAGTCTTGAGGGTAATGTACTGGATTATGTGGCAGATCATTCAGAAACACCAGAGAGGTGCATTAGATGCTTTTATTAGAAGCCTCATCCTTTTCTTTTTGCAGTAACTCTTTGCCATTTAAGTTGGTGATGGGTGGTGCTACATTATCAGTATTTTTAGAAGGTTTTGTTCTTGCTTTGGTTTTTGAATCTTATTTTCAGAATGTGAAAAGGTACAGTGTGACTTATATGTTGAAAGTTTTTTTTTCTTTTCCCGGAAGTAGCATCTTTAATTTTCCAGAAATACCTATGATCATTAGAATAAAAATCAGCAGTAGGTCTTCATGTGTTGGAGTCTCTGTGCAGGCATGCTAAGAATATCTGTGTAAAAGTGATACAGTCAACTTGGTATCATTTGCAGAATTCTCATTACTGACAGATACTAGAAAGTAACTTACAGTGACTTGCTGCTAACAAGAACTAGGTACAAATGGGATATAATTTATGTACGTATTTTCAGCACTACAGTTGTTTTCATGAAATGGTATGCACAGAGAGTTACTGTATTTCTTTAAATAGGACACCTTCTTATGACTTCAAAGAGAGCTAATTGTCCTGGAAAAGTCAGTGGTTTACATGTGGAGATACTGAAATGTATAAAGTACTCTCTCTTGTCAGAGTAAACAGCTACTTGGTTTTATTTTTATCCTTCCTGTCTTCATTGTGTATTCCTTCTCTGTGTTACTTTTTCTGTGAATCTTGACTTGCCACGTTTTCTTAGTATTACCCAAAACTTGGTGTTGGTTGGGAAGCAATTTTGGTTTCCAAAATGCCAGTGAAGTGCAAACTGTATGTTACAGGTAGACAGTGGATCATACTTGTTATGCAGATCTGCAGCATTATTTTTGTGCTTTGAATTTGGGTGATTATTTACCCAGAATTTTTACATAGACCTTCCAGTGCTGAGGAGGAAGTTGGTTCTTTTGCCAGACTTCATTACAAGGTACTGAGATGTCATGAAGTGACATCAGTTCGGCTGTGAAATACCGGCATCTTAGCGCAGTTAGTGAGCTGCAGCTCAGTGCTGATTTGGGTGGATTTTTTATTTGTGCTAGATGCAGAAAGTTCTTTTGTTTGACTATGGCCTATATACAGAGCCTGTAGTGTAGCATGACAGCTTGTAACCTTGACCCAAGGTCTCTCAATGTGAGTGGTTTCTTGGGGCATTGGATAGAGAGAGCAGATGCCTGTGAGCTCTTGGTATTATTAAAGGGTTGGAAGTGGTCTTAATTCTCTACAACTGCAGACATATTCTACATTAGGTATCTTCATTTAATTCACTTTATTTAATTTAAGATGATTCCAGTTGATGGAACAGTAATACTAAGTTACCTACTATTGGAAAAAATTAGGAACTTTATTCCAGGCAAGAGGTTGTCAGATGATGACAAAGGCACGTGGCTTCTCTAAGCACAGTGTCAAAATTGGTTTGCAACTGTCAATTTTCTATTTTGTTTGTAAGCACTGTGGCATAGAGTAAACCTTTTACTTAAGAATCTAAACTAGATTGCTTAATAAGAATTCTCACTTGCTTTCTTTATAAACATTTTTCTGCTCTTTTTTTAGACATGGACCGGGATTATGGGCATGGAGGCTATGGTGGCCCACGATCCATGGACTCTTACCTTAACCAATCCTATGGGATGGAGAGTCATGGAGGTGGAGGCGGAGGAGGTGGTGGTGGTGGTAACAGGTAAAATAATCCTTCAGTTGTCCAAAAAATTGATCAAATCCAATTTAAGTTTAAATCATTCTTCTAACTTAAGTGTTCCTGAGGCATGTTGTTACGATTTTGTATGAACACTTTGGTTCTGAGTCTTCATGTTTGATAAATACTGGCAAATATTAAACTGTAAGTGCTAGATTCTTGTAATAATCAGCATTTTTGTGGAAAACTTTGACAGCGAAACAGTGCGTCTGAATGAAAACAGCAAAAGTTTTGTTTTTCAGTATTGTCTAGCAATTTGTAGCTGATTGGCCTGATACACCATTTCTGTCATAGCAGACTAGACCTAATTGGTTTAGTGTCTTAGACTGAATCTATCAACATTCCGTTTTCAAGGAACATTTAGGGTATGTGTTCTTTGGTTTGAATGTGCAGTGCTCAAGTGATCTTGGTATCGAATCTGAAAGTCATGTCCAGATTATTTCATTGGAAGGTACTGATTATAATTGAAACTGTGTGCATGTTCTGGGCTACTTTGTAAGATGGATTGGTTTAAAACTAAAAATTCTGATGCAGTGGTCTTAAAGTTGTGTATTTAATGCTAGTGTGCTATTTGCTCTTTCAGATAAAAACAATAGGGAGCAGCTGATTTGATTTAGGTCTTAATATTGTATTCAAAGAAGCATGCTTTTCAGAGTAGTGATTCTATCTTGGAGGAGATAAAATGTGAAGAAAACTTAGATAATCTGATGGTTTTCTTGTGTGCGCCCTTGAATTTTTGTCTGGCTGTTGCCAGATTACTGTGTGGTTCCTGTCTGTAGTCACTGTGGTGCCACTGGGGAAGGACAATACTAAACAGGGAGGTTGGAGAAGCGTTGTGTCTTGCTGCTTGGTTCTATTAAGCATTTTAGTTAAGTACAACCTGTATAATAATGAACAATTAATATTGATTGAAAAGTCTAAGCAGAGTTTCAGGAATGAGCTGTACCTACCATATAGTAATCTGCATATGATGGAGGTTGAATGACTACTTGAACGCCAAAATGTCTCTTGCTATGTAACCTAATATTATGCATGGACTTTTTCTAGTGTCATTTTCTGTGTATCTTTGAGTCTTCTGAGATGAATAGATTTTAAAACGAAGGCATTCAGTTTACTGTAGATACAGTTAGTAAGTCTCCTGGTAGGTTGTATTGTATCAGTTAAGGGATTGTCTTTCCCAGCTGCTCAATCACCCTGTTATAGCCCTGCAGGGACACTAATGTGTTTCCCTTCCGAGTAGTTACAAATATTAATTTCTAGCCTGACACTGCCCATGTCCCAGGCAAAGCAAACTCTTGATAAATAGCTGAAGATTTTAGCTCCTTGTTCCTTTACTCTGAAATTCCAAGGACTACTTTTGTGTCCGCTGTGCATGCTTTGGGGAGACTTTGAAAATCTTGATTTGCTAGACCTAATGGTCTGCAAGTGAAAGCTGGATACACTGAAGACCATGAAGTATTTTGATTGTGAGACTGAATTTTACAGGGAATAAAAATTTCCAAAGAACAAATGTGAAAGGAAGAGCATGTGTATTTTTCCTTTAAAATGAGAACTGGGGTACATGGAGCTCACAACTATACCACTGAAAGAAACCAGAAGATTATTTTTTTTCCTCAGTTCAGAACTAAGCCGCCTCTTAACTGCTGTTTAACTGTTAGACTGTGAGGGTATGATTTTGAAGAAAGGCGAGTTTGACTAGGCTTTGAATGTCTGCAGGTGATTATTTTTGTGAGACTAGGGCTGGGCTCCAATAATGTTTTAGTAAATAAATGTTGCTGAAAATTTAAGTAAACAAAGTTCAGGTATACTGAACTTTAGAATTGTTTGTAGCAAAAATGGCTCAGATAGCTTTCTGTCTGGTCATAGTGTGAATTGCCCAGCCCTAATCAAGATTAAACAATAACACAACTGTACAGATCAGTATAGTAATAAATTGATTTAGTTGATAAATGTCAACTGATAACTTGTCTTTTGAAATGTATAACATTAGTAAGCTTACTTTTTTTTCTCCTCACTGTGCAACTTTTCCAGGTTTGGACCTTATGAGTCTTACGACTCCGGGTCTTCTCTGGGTGGGCGAGATCTGTACAGATCTGGCTATGGTTATAATGAACCCGAACAAAGCCGCTTCGGAGGTAGTTATGGTGGTCGATTTGACAACTCCTACCGGAATAGCCTTGACTCTTTCGGAGGTAGAAACCAGGGCGGGTCTAGCTGGGAAGCACCTTACTCCCGTTCAAAATTGAGGCCTGGGTTTATGGAGGACAGAGGAAGAGAGAGTTACTCTTCCTACAGCAGTTTTTCTTCACCCCATATGAAGCCTGCACCTGTAGGCTCTCGGGGGAGAGGAACGCCTGCTTATCCTGAAAGTGGATTTGGAAGCAGAAACTATGATGCTTTTGGAGGACCATCAACAGGCAGAGGCCGAGGCCGAGGAGTAAGTACAGAATCTTTTCAGATTCTTTTCACTAGACACTCTTTTAAACCCTTTCAAGACCACTGCTTTAAAATGAATGCACTGTTCAGTACAGTGTGGGGTTTTGTCCAAGCAAACTATCATGGTTGACAATGTTGTTTATCCCTTTGAAGCTGTCTTCAAGTAGAACCCAGTCCCTCTTTCTGCTGAAAGTAATGAGTAATAGATTAGTTGATAAGGTTTGTTAAATCTCTCCTTTTGTTTGAAAGGTGAAGATAAAAGTAGTAGGTTTGGTCTAAAAGGGATTAAAAGGACTTTCATTTTTCCTTGTAAACACTAGCATCTCTGCTGCTGGTGGGGAAATTTTTGAATATTGTAAAAGTTGAATTCAAAGTCTTTTGAAGCTTTGAGTAGGTTAAAGGTGCAATGTATAAGCAAAAAATAAAACCCAGGTTGTAAATACTAGAGCAGATCTTGGTTCGTGTAAAGGGAAAAGTTCAGCTAATTCTTTATGTTGAGTACATGTTTTATCAAACATCAAGTCTTCTGTTAAACTTAATTCTTACTCTGACTTGTTTACTGGAAGGGTGATGGGGAGGAAATGGCAAAAGTGAGTTGTTAGCAGTTTCAGTAATTCTTTCTCAGAATTAAAGCATGGTTAAAGGGGCATCATCAACTTGAAATCAGGTCCTTTAATTGAATTGAAATTAATTTCCACACAGTGTGCCTAGTCCTCTTACTTGTATTTGTTTTGAAGACTTAAGTTCTAAGTGTTTCTCAGTGGATTCCTTTCCAGTATAGGATGTAAAAAGCATGATTAACTGTATGCAAAATAGTAGATTGCAGTTTGAGGAAGTAATGCTTGATGTTAAGTGAGCTAAGAGAAAAAAAAAAATACAGCAGAGAGAATAAAAAAAAAAACCCAAACCAGACAGAAATACTAACTTTAGGTTGATGGTGTCCCTTTGTCTTGGTTTTATAATCCCAGTTTTGATTTTTTTTTTTTTAAGCACGAAATATTCAGTGAACACCTTTCTGCCTGTGCCTCTAGGTGTAACTTACTTTTTAAAATTCCTGAACGTGCTGTATTTCTTTGGGAAGTGATTCTTTAATTTTAAACTGTACAGCTTGTAGCTTGAAGTGTAGAGGAAGATTATTTTTTACTGGTCTTTTATATGCTTAACTTGTGTGGTGATTTTGTTCCAGAAAGTCTACTTTGCAGCATTCTTGAGTTTTGAAGTTGCCATATTCAACTTTTAGCTCAGATTTGCACATGGCTGTTAGCTAGCATGTAGCATGGTATGAGGAAAAGATTCTAATCTTCATTTCTCTGCTTGTGAAGCTGAAAATGTTACATTCTTAAGCCTTTATGCCATCCTTTCAGAACTCATTTAGATCTGAAAGCTTTGTGCATAGTTACAGCTGAGTTCTTTTTTAATTTGCTTTTGAAATTTACTCTTTTGGTCTTTTATGTAATAAAGGAGAATGTAAAGGCTAGACTACTTACCATACGTAAAATGCATTGCACCTTTAATAGGTAGATTGTCTGTTTAAAAAAACACAAACTTGAAATTATCGAGTGTGTACTTCATGTGAAATTTGTGTCTGATGTAAATGTACATGCTAGGCAGTCAAAAGCTATCTCAACTAAATAAATTAACATGAAGGTCTTGTGCATGGACTTCTGATTATGGAAAGTGCCTGTTTTGGTACATTCTGTCATTTAAAATCTGCTATTAAAAAGTATACTTTTCTTAAGTGTTGAAGTTATTTTTTTATGTTCTTTTGACAGTGTAATATTAATTCTCTTCTCATGGATAGACATATATTTCTGCTTATCCAAGTCACTCATCCAGTCTGTGGGCTCTCTTCTGCCCTTTATTAATCAAGGAATTAAGTTAATATTAAGAAGTTCGTTAGCACTTCAGAAAATATTCCAGCTACCTAAATTACCCTCTTCAAATTACTTAACCTATTCTGTGTCTTCAGAGAGGTAACATTCCATATACAAGTGTCCACAAATGACTGTACATAATTTCAGAAATAGAGGAAAGGTTTAGTCTTTCAATGGAATTTCATTCCTATCACTGCATTGTTTTGGTATCACTTTCTCCAGGCCCAACTTAAAAAAATCAGTTTTTATTGAATTCAGTGGAAAGATGAAAAGACGGAATGGGCTTCCTCGATTAATCAGTATTCCACACTGGACAACCTTCTTTACTCAGTTTTCAGATCACTCCTATATCATTTTGCATAAGATGCAAAACAAGGAAGCTTTTTTGCCTTTTTTTTTTTTTTTAAGTGTTAAAAACTGAGTTGTTAAGCTCTTTTTTTTTTTTCCAGAGAGAGATGGAATTCATTATCTAGAGAATCTGAAGAGAGGAGCCAAGATGTTAGGCTGAGATATGATAGATATGTTCATTGTCTGGACAATGGTTCTGAATAAGCAGAAACACAGTTTCAACCTATAAGTATTCGTTCTATTGGACAAACACCCACAAAGCCATTGCACAAATGAACATCAGACCAGGAGCTTAAGTTTCCTCCTGCATTTTGCTCTAGAAGACAGATTTTAGTTAAGGTCACAGTCATATTGTACCAAGTAGTTGTTTTATTGACATTGCTTTCATATACTAATACATTTCTCTTAATTTTGCAAATTTTCAGCATATGGGAGACTTTGGTGGAATGCAGAGACCTGGAATTGTCGTTGACTATCATAACAAACCCAGTCCTGCAGCAGTTGCTGCAAGGGGAATAAAAAGAAAAATGATACCACAGCCATATAACAAACCTGGTGGGACATTCATCAAGAAACCCAAAATGACAAAGCCTATTTTGAAGCTGAGCCAGAAAAAATCACCTAGTAAGTAACAAGTGTCAAAATTCTTAAGTTAAAATTACTGATTTTTTTTATTCATTAGAAATTACTTAGTTTTAATATTGAGAAAGAGGGTTGTATGTGCTGTTTTGTAATTCTTCATTTTCTACCTTTCAAGTAGTCCACAGTGGATTTTAGGAGTTTACATGTCTATCTTTCCTACTGCAAAGGTAATTAGGTAAATGATACTGAATATTTGATGTGTTTGGATATGTATCATTGAAGACTTATCTCATTGAGACTTCATGATGATACTTCCTGGAGGCAAATTTTTACCACTAAAAATAATGTCAGGTTAAAAATTGTCTCAGGTTGTCTGAAGAGACAATGCCTAACAAATATTAAAATACGCTCTTGCATGAGCCCTGCTGTCCAAATTCTTCTATAAAGAAGTCCAAATTCTATAAAAAGCAGTGCATCAGCTGCAATGCAGTTAAAATAAAGATGTAAGGCGTGGGTGAAGAGGAGAAGGGAGAGGAGGCAAACTGCAAAAATGGCAAAAACTGTTACAGAATAATTTATGAGAGGCAGAGATTGCTCCCACTTGTAAATGAAATGCTGTAATGACAAGAAGAACTGTAAATGAGATAGATAAACTATAAATGCAAACTGTAAATTGTATTGGTGATGCTTGGTTTCTTTAACTTCCAGAAAGATATTCTACAACTTACATTAAATTTTTATATTGCAGTCAAGTTGGAGGAAAAAGTCACTAGTGAAGTTTGAATAAATTACTAGCTTTAAGGGAATGTAAACTTGATTATTATATATTGTGAGCAGTGTGTACAGCAGTCAGATTTTAGTTTTTATGTTTGTGATTTCCCAGTAATTTCTATCTACAGTGTTTTATGTAGTTTGGTTTCAGATCGCCTGTGAAAATTGTTTGAAGTTGCTGTAGCTCATAGCTTGCAAGGCAAATGCACAGACTTGGCAGAGACTTTGAGACATAAATTCTGGTTTTGAGTTTGTTATTCTGGTTACATTACTGTGTATTACATAATGGTTCTCTTAACTCTAACTTAGAGTACTGTACAAATTCCAGGAACTGGCTGTATAGAACATAACCCTCTCCCTTTTGTATAGGGAACTTTGTCAGTGGTCTTGCCAGCTTTGTTGTGATGAAAAGGGTCTCTAAAATGCACATCCAAGTTCTTCCAGTACTTTTGTACATTCTCCTTTCTAAGCTGTGTTCAGATAGAGCACTTCTAATTTATTATCTCATCCCCCTCACTGATTTCCACAATCCAAAGAACAACACATAATATTGGTTACTTTAGGAAGTGAAATAGAGAGTGCCTACAAGAATGCAGCCTGTCCTGTGGCTCTGAGATTAAGGGGAAGAAAATGAGTAGTTTAACACGGTTTCTGAAACTCGAACTGAAAGATCTAAGCAGTATCACATAGTTGAAAACTGAGAGGTGGGTGACAACTAACAAAAACTTCGGTGCAGTTGGTGTTGTATGAATGAAAATATATCCCAGAATTATACTGTCCTTTCAACCTTGAAATTCTTGTTTTGGAATTAGACAGTGGTTAATTGCTTCTGAAAGTGTTTAGTTTATATTTCTAAGGATAACTGACTTCACATTTAATAGTGTTACTAAACTATGATAAATTTTAAATGTAGACAATCTTCCCTGCATAACAAGTTTGATTTTTTTTTCCTAAATATTTTACTGTCTTAAAATGAATTGTCAGTGACAGCACTTTTGCATTGTTTTTCATTTTATGTTAATAGACATGAAGACATCTTACCAGGAGTCTACTGTAGAGGTAAAGATTCCCAGAACTGGAAATTATTTTGATTCTTTGAGAAGTTCGCATAGTATACCTTAAGACAAGTAATTCTCAAGCTAGAGTTATCAAATTGAACATTAAACTAGATAAGTTTTTCTGAACATGATTTTGGGTTTTTTCTCACTTTATCTAAAACTGTCTTATTTTGGTGGCAGTTGATTTTGAGTGAAAGTAGCTTGTGCAGATAGCCTGGAAAGTGAATTTTAAGGTGCATTTGTAGACCCTACCTGTTCTTGTAATGCACAAGAGAGCTCCCATGTGAACACTTCTCATGTTGCCACAGGTAGACACCTTGAGCTCATGCAGCTATGACCTTGGGTGGGTACAAAGGAGATCACTAAACAGAAGTGAGGAGGAATGGCTAAGACATTAAGACACATCAAGGAGAGAGGGTAAATAAAAAAAGGGTTAGTGCTAAAAGGTGTTCTCTGATAGGGTAGGAAGATCAGTCCCTTCCTTCAGATCAGTTACAGCACTATGTAAGAATGTTACTGGTAAGCTAAGCATGTGTGTATATATATCCTGGTTTAATGTTGCAAGACTGGAATGTCATTTCCCTTCTTATTGAAAGAGGGTATTAACACCTCAACTAAGTCTGGATTGGAGGTCAAAATATTTATATAGAAAACAATTTTGATTGTGAAAATAATTTACTAAGTCTTCAAGGCATTATGAAGAAATGCAGAGCTAGAAGTGTTTGTACACCGAGTTCAACAAGATACTAAATTCACTTTGTCATATTTAAAAAATAGCAAGTAACAGATCATTGGAAATAATGTATATTACGCTGCCTTTCTGGATTTAGAATGGTTTTTTTAATTTATGGATTTGACTTTATTAGGAAATTGAAGTGGATACAAGTGGTGCAGTTGTTATATATGAAGACTTTACAAGAGATGCTTATGATCTTGGATATCAGACTTTTGGAGGTAAGTCAGTTTGCTTTTTCAGGTAAGGTATTACAGGTATTCTATTTGTGAGACTTCGAGAGAACACATTGTATAAGCCTGTATTTATGACCTCTAATAATTACTTGGTAGCATGGCTGCCTTTTTTTTTGTTTAAAGACTTAAAAATTTAGGCTGTGGATAGATGGTTGTTTGTAACATCCATCCATTACTTGGTTGGTTTTTTCATGCCTACTGTGTCTCTGCTCACTGATCATTTCAATATGTTGTTGTTTGCCTTCTGTTTTTTTTAATTTTTGTAAAAAAAAATTGTGGTCTTATATACTTGCTACCATTCCATTGCTTGAATGTTGTTCATCCCACTGGTTCCTCACCCATATCCTATTATTTATCCCACTAGCTGATCAACCTCACCATTAAACTCTAGGTGAGTCACTTTTAATAAAGTGGATTCAGTTGTCTTGGAGAGCCGCTGTCAGGAATGGGGGGTCTGTTTCATGTACAGTCTTAATGAAACAGGTTTATTATTAGTTTACAGAAAGTCAGTTCAAGTGTGTAGTAACTGTAGTGATTCCAGATGCACAGAAAAAGAAATCCAGTGATAAGGCTGAAATTACTTTTAGTCCCCATTTCCTTGCATGCTGCCCTATTGTATATGGCATGGTCTCATTTGATGGCAAGGAACGCTGGAAATTTGCAGCCAAATGAGTGTTTCTTTCCTTGAAGTAATAGCAAATATTTTGAGTTTATTTTTAAGTTGTGTGGGTTTCTTCTTGTTTTAAAGGTTTGCATAAGTGCACTGAAGGAAAGAGGGAGTTTTTAGTTTGTGTATATTCAGGTCTCTATTCCCCAGCTTCTAACAGGACAGGCTCTTCAATTTGTGAGCTTGAGGGTCAAAGTAGAAGCCATTTCACGCCACAGAATATCATACCAGATCATTTTGACAGCAGTAAAACAAGTGATCCTTTGCGTAATTTGCAGGGTTGGTGGTAGTGCACTAAATGAAATTTAAATCCTGAGATCAGTATGGGAATTGCCTCTAGGTAGGTAGGTGGTTTTTTGTTACCTTTTTAAAAAATAGTTTCATGGACAGGAGTTTTTTTCTCCTTTGTGGATCACAGTAAATTTTGAAACTTTTTGCTACAAAATTAGTAACCTTGGGATAATCAGGAACTGTTAGTCATGAAGATGGTTTTCAGTATTCAGTGACACTTCTTGATCCCCAGAGTGTTTTGCAGTCTTGGTATTTGTGCATGATGCTGTTGTATGTTCCTTTCTGTTGCTGCTTGGATGTAGATTTCCTGGAGACTGACCTCTCTTCTGAAGTTGAACTGTAAAAGAAAATGAAGCAATCCTCTTTTTTTCTGGTCTAAAACTACCCGCTGAATAATATTCTAATTGTTTCCCTTTGTCCATAGACTACTAAAGCAGACAGAGGAAAGACAAACATAAGTGCACTTATGCAAAAAGTCAGTGTCCTTGGAAGTCTTAAGTGTTGTAGAACTAAATTCTGTTCAGTTAGTCATTCACACTTTCACTTACATGCCAGGTAGTAATTTAATCAAGTTCTTCTCTGAAGGTTTGGTTGGGTTTTTCGTTGTGTGGTGAATCTCTCTGTCCTTCTCTCCTCCCTGCTCCCATTAACTGGTTTATTTCTTTGGCTGAAAGTCTTTGGGATATTTTTCTGTGAAACCAAGTGAAGTCTAGTGGGGAAAAATAACAAAGGTGTTGAATTGCAGCTTGGGTACCATACCTTGAAGCAACATTGTCTTGTCTCCTTTGTGAAAACCTTTGCTTTCTGTTTTGGGAGCTGCCTTCTCAGTAGAAGAGACAGCCTTTAGATAGTTTGCTTTTATGTAAGGGGACTGTAGCAGTGGTGCTCTAAAAACATGGGTGGGTTTTAAACAGTGTCTTTTTCCCCATGCATTTCCAGTTACCTTTTTCTGGTCACTTACTTGAAGAGGCCTTTAATAACTAGGTGCAACATGGAAGGAATTGCTTTAACTCTGAATTTCTTCTGTGTCTGTAAACTAGAGTGTAAACCCATAGCTACTAAGTTGAAAACAAGTATTAAATTGGTTGTTTTTAGAGGAGGAAAAGAAAGCAAAACTTTAAGAACATTTAAGAAAGCCATTGAACCACATTGATATGTTGAACATACTGATAACTGCATTTTGAAGTGTTTGTGGAGGAGGCAGGGAAGACAGGTACTTCTGCTGGTGTTTGTTGTTTTGGATTTGGTTTTTAATCCTTCAATTGTATGTTAAGATGGCAAAGGAGAAGTTAAAAGTGAGGAAGAAGAAAAGCGGCGGATTGAGGCCAGAAGAGAGAAACAAAGGCGTAGAAGGGAAAAAAACAGTGAAAAATACGGCGATGGATACAGGTTTGTGCTGTAACTTCTGTGTTGTGTACAGTGTTTTTCTTGCCCTTAATGCCTCTCTAAGAACACATTTTTTCCCTTCGGACTGATTATAGGAAAATAAAATGCAAAAAAGAAAGGAGGGAAAAAACCCACCTCCTTCCACACCCCTCCACTTTCCCTGCTCCTCAGCAAAAGCAAAAACCTAACCCAAATAAAGAAAAAAAAACCTCAAGCTAAAACCTGGCACCCAAATTTAGTGGCTTAGAAGACTGGGTGTTACATTGGACCACTGTTGTATCAGAAAATCCGCAATTTACTAACCCCTTCTCCCCCACAAGTGCATCAGTGCACTCTTGAGAAGCAGATTAGAATGGTACTGCGTTTGAACTATATGCTCCTGTTGATTTAAAGAGCTGTTGGAAATTGATTTTATTCCAGTTTTGTGTATGTGTATATATATATATATATATATATATTTGTATCTGTGGTCAACTGTTTTGTAGCTAAAGTAAGTACATGGGTTTGTAACTTTCTTAGTGTTGCCCAATGGCTGCACTGTACAAAACTGTTCAATGTCAGTGCAGTATTTGATCCTGGCTAGTGATTAGTGATTTTTCTTCATTATACTGAGGAGAGTCTATTTCCTTATAAAGATTATATACCTTTTGTATGGAAAAGGAGCTTTAAATTAATTCTTCTGATTACTTGCAACTAGGAGTTCATGGCCTGGCTGAGCTATGATTCTGAGCCTACAAGGTGTACTACAAAAGGTGACAGGAAGCAGAGAGCTGCAATAGATGAACTCACAGAATAATGTAGCTTTTAAATGCTTGGCTTCTGATTTCAGCAGTTTTTGTCTCCTGAACAGATAACTTGTTACTCTTGACAGTGGCCTGATATGTATTTGATTCTTGTAGCACTTACCCTTTATAATGGAAAAAACTTCAGGGTTTTTTTTTTTCATTCCTTTTTCACTTAGGCTTCTTCAAAGAATGCTTTTCCTGTTCCCTTTCTGATTAGGTTTGTCAAGTGTCATAGTTTTGAGGAGTTCTAATAGTAATATTAACGTATTTCTCTTGGCAGAATGGCATTTACTTGCTCATTTTGCAAGTTTCGAACGTTTGAAGAAAAAGAAATTGAGTCACATCTGGAGAGTGCAGCTCACCAGGAGACATTGGATCATATTCAGAAGCAAACCAAATTTGACAAAGTAGTGATGGAATTTCTTCATGTAAGACAGCTGTTTTTAATCTGTATAATACTTTTATATGAGAATATAGTTAAAATTTACCATTTATTTTCAAAATATGCTTAACTTACCGTTCATCCTTTTGTAGATAACTCTTGGTGCAGCGCATACTACTAAAAGTTGAAGCACATTCAAAGTCTCTAAAATGAAAGTAGTGCCTTGAGAAGTAATAGAAATTGTTTACAGTTTGTTATATATAAATATGTATTAATATGTATTAATACGATATAAATTGTTATCTGATAGCAATATATTATTTTAACAGATAATACATAATTACAATTATACTGTAGTATAATAATTAATATAATTACACTTATATAACCCTCTATTGATACATATTATATATTTATACATGTTGTTATATGAATATATTAATATAGTATATTATATATTGAAATTATATATTCAGTGTATAAACTATTGAATTTTAAAAATCTGGGTTAATACTGAAATGTAAACAATTGTACATTGTAGGTATTTACAGTTTTTTTCCCTCTGTAGGAGTGTATGGTGAATAAATTCAAGAAGACAGCAATGCGTAAGCAGCAGACAAGTAACCAAACTGAAAATTCCCAAGCTACTGAAAAAGATATAATGGAAGGTGAGTAATGTAGAGCTCTCCTGGTCTTTTTCTCCTTTCATTCTTCTTTGAATTTGATAAAATGGATAAAATCTGTTAGTTTTCACATCTTTTCTGTACCTGGTTGAGATACCTTGCTTTGTTTCTGATACAGTGTGGAATATAAGCACAGCAGGAGATGGCAAACTTTGTTTGTTTGCTACCCATGTAGCATTGTCAGAAGGTGAGAACATCGTGCTGGTACTTGATAAACAATTCAGTTTTTCAGGTCTTTGCTGGAGTCTCATTCAGTGTAAGGCATGAGGAGTGACAACAGGTGAATGCAGTAGATGGAAAGAGAGTAATAAAGCAGTGAGGTGATAGTGGCTAAATACAATGACAAGGATTTGGAAAAGTGTAAATAGGAGAGTTGCTGTGCTTTAGAGGGACAGTGACAAAAGGAGGAGGTTTGAGTGTTTTTTGGTTTCTTGCATCTCAGCCTGGAATTTTTTTCCCCTTGTCTGCCCTATAGGCAATTTTTTGGAGCATTTCATGTGTCCCTGCCTTGCTGTGCCTTAACCTTCCATTCTATGCTTGAAGGATTTCAGAATATGGGTTGCAACCAGTGGAGACATATTTGATTACCTTTATTTTAGGCAATAACTGTATTTCAGTATTACCTTAATTGGAACTTAAATACTAAAAGGTACTTAAAAATTGATATAAGCAACATTTTAACATTCCCACATATTCTTTTGTGCTTCCCATAAGTACTGGAAGGCCTGTTTTCCTTTGTGATGAGAGTGTTCTGTTACCAAGCTAATATTTAAATTATCAAGAGGAGTTGGATTCATGTGCTTCTCCCTGATGGTGAAGGAGGGCAGGGAAGTAAATTAGTTTTTATAAGGGTTAAAGTAAGTGCATTTACTTCGGTCAAGCTTTGTTTGCTGTATCAAATCATATTATATAATATATAATACTATATATAATATATGATATAAAAATATAAAATATCAAAATTAAGGCTATAAGTTACTGTTGATTGAAAATAAATGCCATTCTTGTACTTTGCCTGGATCTCATGTGTAGTTTATGAAGAGGTGAAGTTGGAGTATTGAAGTGAAAAACTTCTTCCAATATTGCCCTCAGACAGCCTAATTTTGATGCCTGAATTTAGGTGAATATTCCTCAGTGGGTCAGTTAGACATGTTTAACAACTGAGAGCTATTAATTTTTGGGTAAAAAACTAACAAGCTGCTTTTCCAGTTGCCTAAAGTAATGCATTTTATGATAATGGTTTGTTGCATCTTCTTTGGCAGGGGTTACAGCTGATGACCACATGATGAAAGTTGAGACTGTTCACTGCAGTGCTTGCAGTGTCTATGTTCCTGCATTGCACAGTTCTGTTCAGCAGCACTTAAAATCTCCTGATCACACAAAAGGAAAACAAGTAAGATATGACATATTATTAAAAAAAAGGGCAAGCATAATCTAATAGTAGGTGAAAAGTGTTAGACTTCTTGGTGCAAGTACTTTCATAGTTCTTGTTGAAGTGTCTTGCTCTCTAGAAAGCTGTCATGTCCTTACTGCACTTTGTAAGTTTAACACCTCAAGAAGTAGCCAGCACTTAAGCACCCCAGCTAATGAAATGTTGGTGTGCTTAATAGCTGCCAGTAAAAAATCATGTGAGAAAGTTACTAGAAATTACTTCTTCACTTGATGAGAATTTGCTTTACAGAGTCTAAGTATTGGAAACATTTTGTTATTCAGATTGAAAAACAAAACACATGTGTTTCTAGCAAGATAAACATACTGTGTCATTTCTTGGTGATTGTCTTTTTAATTTGAAGATAGCAGAGAGCAGTTTAGAATTAGCAGTCATGTTGTATTTGCCCATGTTAAAATTTATAAACTTTAAAACTTTAGGGCTGGTAGAAGGGTTGAAAGAGTGGCATGAGCAGGACAGTAAGCAAGATTGCCAAAGTTGTGTTTTGTTTATATGTGAGCTTCTGTGATTGTGGAATGTTGTAGAATGTTTTGAATTGGAAGGGACCCTGAAAATGAGCAGGATCATCTTCAATAATATGTTAGGCTGTGACTGAGAAGCCTGAATGTTGTCTGTAGATTAGAACAGATACCTGGTTGCAGTCCGTTATATAAGCAAGATATGTCTTCTGATCAAGCTAAAGTGGCAAGCTATAAACACTGCTACACCTAATTGGTTAAGTTTATGTGGTTTGGACTTAAGTACTAAGAACAAGCAGTTCATGCTGTAATGCGTTCATTCTTTTATTTAAAGAAACTGATCGTGAATTCAAATTCATGTGACTGTTGTAATAGGAACATGAGAAGCATTCACTGTTAAATTTGTTTCCTAGGCCTACAGAGAACAAATAAAAAGGGAGAGTGTTCTCACTGCCACCAGCATCTTGAATAATCCTATAGTCAAGGCACGATATGAGCTGTATGTGAAGGTAAGATGCAAATGGAAAGAAAAGAATTGTTTGCCATTTTCTCCATGCTGATAGAGTTTAACCTCAGTGCTCTCTGTCTTTTAGATAGCTCACAGATTGAATACACTTTTAATGTATTTTGCCAGTCAAAAATCATTGTCTCAAATTAATTTGCAGCAAAAATTACCACCTTCAGGTTCACCAGTTATTGGGTGTCATTTAAAACTTGTATCTAGGCGGTTTTTCTGGATATTCTAATAAAAAAACTCCAAACTAACTTCAGGCAAATATTAGCAGTGTCTTTAGCTCCATATGTAATGTTAACTGCAGAGCACAAAACAAAATTACTCCATCTGTACATTTAGAAGCAAAAGCTTCTTGTGTGGGTTTGTACTGAAGTATAGTGTGATATTACACAGCTACTTTTTATTCTGTAGAATTTTTAGGGTTCATGACAAAAACTTACAGTAGTTGATGAGATTAGAGAATTTAAAAGGCATGGCAGCCTATGTTGTAGATAAGTGGCCTGAGAAACAGGTGAATTCATTTTAGCAAAATGGAGGTGTTTTTTCTGCTGGGCCACTTACTTTGTGAAATGACTCTGTAATACTGTTGTTAGCTATTTCTGGATTACTTTTAATTGGTTTATGATTCTTCCTGTGCCATAACAGGAAGATTCTTTCAGACAAAGCAGTATTGTCTTTTGGAAATAGGGCAAGGTATGAGCCAGTGCCCAAGTTAATTGTGATTTAAAATGTCAAATTAGTCGTGTCCTGAGAAGTTAAGTATGGATGGGTGTGCAAATCAGTTTCAGACAGCTGTTGTGTACCTGTTAAGGAAAGGTTGTGAATGGCCAGCTACCAGAGCCTGGAATAACCTGCCAGAATTTCCAGCCACCTCCTCCCAGTTCCTTATGCCTGGTATGCCTTGTCCAATAGAGACCCCTAGCGGGAGATGGGTAAAAGGGAGAATGGAAATTTGCCTTTCATCCCTTCAAAAACTGAGGAAAGTAAAACATGCAGGATTGTCTTCACAAGGAGACTGCTGATGTTTTCAGAATGACTGACTGAAATGTCTGGTATATTCTGTGGGAGACTGAACTTAATACACTTTCACCAGGATCTGCTCAGTGAGATCTGTCTGGCTCCTGCAAACCCCTTTCATCCTTATTCAAATGTATAGTGAACTGCAGACTGAAGTAATTCAGTTTTCTTATACAGTTTGTGCTGGAGCAGAGCACTCATGCATTTGGGACCTGCAGTGTTCCAGATAGGGGGAAATCTTTGTTGTAATGTGGTCTCAATTCTGCTTTCTTTGGGTTAAATCTAAATCTGAATTTAAAATTTCTCTTGATATTTAGAAGAATATCGAAACCGTGATTTAGTTTTGTGGCATTTGCTGAATATTTTTGTATTTCAGACTCTTAATTTTTCGGTAGCTATGTGGAAGATTCTACCTGAGAAATGAAACTGATGCGGGCAAAAAGGACAAGGGGCCTAGCTTTTTTTTTTTTTTTTTTTTTTTGTATCTTTTAAAAAGTACTCTTAAAATTGTAGTCCTGGTGCAGTTGGTGGTTGGTATCATATGTTCAGATCAGACTTGTTTTATCAAATGTAGGAACATGAAATGAGCTTTAGCTAAGAAACTCTTAATAGTTCATGTTGATATTATTCATTGATTATTCACAGTTCTTAGGAATAGGGGAAGGCTAATGTATGTTGTGCTGAACAATTGTATGAAATGGAGAAAATATGAACCCAAAATGCCAGTGTGATTAAAGTAATGAGAAAACCGGTAATTTTTCTAGGTCAACAATGGAATGAATTTCAGGGTACTCAGTGTAATAAATTTTAGATTTCTTCTTCATTTTTTAAGGAGTGTGCCTTTTTTCATAGAATTATTCAGAGTGAATGAAGACTGTAAATAAGGAAAAGCAGAGCAAAACTCTTCTGTTCCAATTTGGTTTTAATTGGGGAGAAAAAGGAAGCATCTGTAGTTCTTAATGAAAACATGTTGAAACTTTAGCATGTAATTTTAATTTCTCGAGCGTTGAAGTGAAATCTGTGTTTAGCATACTTGGCTTTATTTCAGTGCCATTTCCACTTTCATTGAAAGAGTTTATTTGGATCCCAGTTTCCCATGTGCATAAAGATGTGGTGTTGCTAGTTTTAAATCCAACTCATGCTGATTTTCTTGCAAAAACCCCACTACTATTAAAAAGCAGTATAAAATAATGTAGCATTTCTTAGTGGCTGCCCCTTTTATTGACTGAAATTATGAGTATGATTTTATATTTGAAGTCAATATCAAAGTGATTGTTTTCAATCTTGTACTTCAGGGTGAAAATCCTTTTGAAATTAATGATCAGGCTCAGGAGCAGCAAACTGAGGAAGAAGACAAAGCTGAAGAACCAGCTGAGGGTGAAGAAGAGGAGGAAGAAGAAGAGGAAGAAACTGAAGAACAAACTGACTTCACTTTAGACCACACTGAAGATAACTAAGTGCAAGAAAATAAAAATACATTAGTGGGGGCAAACCAGCCTTTTATTTCTGCTCTAAAGTGGCTCAGACTTTTTAATAGTCTCAAATGGATCTGAAGATTCCCCACCATATGCATGCATTCCATTCCATGGAGAACTTGTTTATATAATTCCTCTGTGTTTCTGATTTTGTTTTAAATGAAATTAAGACTATTTTAGTTGAGCTTTTTATAGAAAACTGACTGTTAAAGCTGATCAAAACATTGTGTTGTATATTTTTTTAAGCATCCTATTTTTTTGGTGTGTGTACTGAAAGTTGGATCTGGTCTAATCAGTTGAAAAGGAAGGTGGATCTTTGGGGTAAATATTTTAAAAGCTTTGTGGTGTAAGCTTATAAATATTTACCTCAGTACAGGATGAATAACTTCAAAAATTGTGCTGTTGAGTGTGGCTGTTTGGGGGACTGCATTGCACTCTGTATAATAGAGTATGTGTTTATAATATGCCTTGTAGCTTTTTGTGATAAGATGTACCCGTTTGTAGCAATAAAATACTTTAAAAATATTACTGTTTAAGATGTCCTTAGTTTTAAGTATTTCAAAAATTTCCCCATGCTGACTACTAAACTGGTTTCAAATTAAATCTTAATTGATACTATTGTTGAAATTGTAGTTGCATCTTAAGTGACTCATTTATTGCTGAGTTTTGGTGTGTTGGGTCTCCATCTACCAGGACAGGTAAGTGCTTGAGCCCTCATAGTGTGCCTGGGTGAAGTGTCCTTTCTGTGTGTTCACGTGTGGAGTACCCTTGTCTATCTTAGAAATTACAAGTAGTACACCTGTGGTTTTTCTGTAGTTCCTACTGCTGTAGCTTTTGACTAACGAGAGCTAAAAATGTCTGATTTGACTGTTTCTAAGTGCAATGAAGTAACTGACAGCTTTTTTTGCTAAGTAAGGTAACTTGAGACAAGTAACTACAATCTGGTGGTTATAGAGACTTTTTTTTTCAAAATCTCATAATAAATGTGATGTTGCACATTTCTTTTGGAGAGTCCTTGTGATAATATGTAGTCATCGCTGTGTAGAGGTGGTAAATACTTAAAATACTTATATAAATACTTATGACCTTACCTACAAACCAATTTGCTTTTTCAGTGATGTGTTTTTGAACGGAGGAAGGTGTGCAAGTTTTGTGGAGGAATGCTTTATTCAGATAATAGACCACCTGAAATCCTAATAGCAGTCAACTCTGAAGAATGCTGTGTATTGCAGTCATTTAGCTGTTGCCTTTGTGTAGTTTGGAGAGTAGAAAATATGACAACATGGTGAGGAAAGAGAGAGGAAACGGAGTTTGGTGTCTTGACCTCTTGTTTATGGCTTTACAGTTTTATTTTGTAGTTAAAAAATCAGCATAATGTAAACCAGATTGATGTACCTGTAAGTAACAGCTTGGAGCCAGAAGTTAGCATGGGTTGGTTGGAAGATATGTTAAGCCTGCAGCTGTTCTAGATCTCTAAATTCTCGTATTCTCCATGTTGAGACTAGGATCAAGATTGATACTTGCATTGCTTTTAGGGTGTAATCTCCCCTTCTGCCTTACAAACTGGTCATTCAGCTATTTGTGTTCTACTTGTAGGTTTCTTGCCTTACAAGAGAAAGATGCATCTTATAATTTCTTCCCAAACACTTTAACAGGAACTGTATCAGTGTTCTAGAAACTGGGTGAGAGTTTTAGCATGAGTATTTGAGTAGTTAGGAGAATTGAGATGCTGCCCAAATTTCTGCAAGTGGTGAGTTTGTATATGGCTACTTTATTGGAGAGAATTAAGTTGCTTTACTCAGCTAAGCCCTTCCACTTAGGATCTTAATGCTTTATTTACATTACTGCACTGATTTCATCCATGGTAACTTCAGAATCTTTGAATTCAAAGCAGTCGTGATTTGACTTGATACCTAAAATACATAATTTGCTGCTTATACTAACATTTCTCAACTGTAAAGTGTGTTAAGTGATGCCTTAAACTTAGATGACAGATTTGAGGAAGTGGGGGGACAACTGCTGATTGTCATAGACCAAATTATCCCATAGGCTTAGGAGGAACTTCAGATGGAATCCTTGGGTCCCTTTTATAGCTGATGTTTCATTAAATCAATTTTCCTGGATCAGTGACATGTGGAAATAACTTCAGAGGGACTGAGGTTGGCACATTCCAGGTGACACCATTGGTAAGACACACACACAGAGACTCATTCCAAATGGAGTGGAGATTGCATTTGTTTGTTTCAGAATCTCAGAAATGAAGACCATGGCTTTAGGCAGTTGTGGAGAATGATGTCTCCTGATTTACACATCCCTGCTCAGAGACCTTTGTATTTCCTTTACATTCACCAGCAATGTGCTCTCAAATTCTGACTGTTCGTAAGTTTTGATTGCAGTAGGGTATGCCTTTCTCTATTTTTAAGAACCTTGAAATGTTGACTATTGTGATTGATACAGTTTAGAAAAAGACAAAAAAATGGGGAGTGTTTTTATATCCCCCATCCTGAAAAACTGCTTCAGATGAAAGATCAGTGAAAGACTGGACTTGAAATGTAGTTGATGTTTCATAATCATACAGATGATAACTGGTGACTAACGGTGTTTCTTGGAGAGTCAGTTGCTTAAGGAAAAGCAGTTAAGGCAGATAGGTCCTGTTTTAAAATTAATATTGAGGGTTTTCAATAATTGAACAAACTTTGGAGATGGTAAAGCCACATAAGGTGAAAAGTATTTCAGAGTGTTTAAAAGTATCTTGTGGGAATCAAGGCTGTCCTACATGATAGGCAAGATCTCGAATCCTTTTTCAGTGCATGAGCTGTAGAGTCTTGAGTGGAATCAACAGCAGATGTTTGGTGCCTCTTACCTGAGTAGTTGATATGGAGTGTTTCAGGTGATGATTTACATTGCACAAGAGTAGCAAGATTTTGACTTGCACAATGATACTAATGCTAATTTTTTTTTTTTTTTCTGCTGGAAACATCCTGGTATGTTTTTAATCTTTCATAGGACTGAATTGTGTTCTTGATTTATAGTGCTGAAGAATAAATACTTGTCTCACATTCTAAATACCTCAGGAGCTAGAACTTCAATCTTTTTGCTCTCAGAAATGTTGACAAATACTGTATGGAGTTTTGTTTGTGGTTTTGTTTTTAGGGTTGAACTTGCAAGGTAGCCAGTAGAGTAGTAAGAAATATGAGCACTAATCCTTGCAATTTACACACAGGGAATAATTGCCATATATGCAAGCTCTTATGTGTGTTACAGCCCGAATGCACTAGTGTTTTAAATGCAATTATTTTTTGCCACAGTGTCAATGCAGGATGATTGCAATCATACTTGTGTAATACTTGGCTTGTTTTCATGCTGTGTGGAGGACTGAAATCTTGAAACAAGCCTGTAGATCTCTTGCTTTGGCTTTTCCTGTTTTTCTGGTTTTCTTACAGTTAGGAATGTGAAAGATAATGGAGACTTACCATCTTCATTCCTATTTACCTTGGACATCTTCCTTGTGGACCTCAGAACATGTGTTCCAAACAGTTGCTGTGTTTGTAGAGTGAAATCAGTTTTCAGCTTGCTGAATAGTGGCTTTACATTTTCTTGCTGTTGTCTGTCAGACTTCTACAAAAAATTTTTATTTTTTTAAATGTATTTTTCAGCTTCTAGAATGTCTTCTCTTTCTAAGTAGCCCTGAAATAGAGTATCCAGTATTCTTGGTTGCTTATCCTTCTACTAACTTAAGTCCTCACCCACTCAGATTTAAGATTGTAGGGAGAAACTTTATTGTAAGGAATGCCCCTAGCAAGCAGGGAGTTGGATCTCTCCTAGCCTTGGTAAATCCCACATCCTCTTGAGTCAAAAGCCTGCAGTGAAGCCCCTTAAATCATGTGAAAGGATTAGAATGTTACACCAAGTTTGTTTGCAGTGAAGTTTGTTCTAAGAGTAAATATGAGTAACTTGTATCTGTGTAATTTTTTAAAGTTAATTTCTAAAATTGTGTCAAGTTTTTAGGCTTACAATAGTCCACTTCTCTTTAAAGTTAAGTCTTGTACCTCAAACAGATTTGTCTGGTTTAAAGTACAGTTAGCTGATGAATAATAAGCCTTTCTGTATAAATAATAAGGTGTATACACTGAAGTCCAACATCTAATACAAAAGAGCTTTTGATCTTACTCTCCAAATCTAAGCTTTCCTCATCCCATTCTTTGGTACTTCAAAGCTTATGCCAGCAGGGAAAGGAGTAAATACCCAGAGGGTAAATTTGAGCATCAAAATCTGCTGAGACAAAAACAAAAGAGAAGACTTCTTAAGACTCCACAACCCCTTACTATCCTGTGATTCTGATTTAAAGCAAAGTCCTTTCTGTATGCAGAAGTGTGGTTGAGGTTTTTTTATGGTTTTGGTTTTGTTTTTTTGTGTTTTTTGATGATTTGAAGATTACCAAGTGTTAGAGGAGAACAAGGAATAAGTAACCTGCTTCCCTTTCTGGTCCCCTGCAGGTGAAACATTTGGGTATTTGCAGCAAATGTGCCTGTTACTTTTATGGACACTTACCATCTTCATTCCTGTTTACCCTGGACATCATCCTTGTGGAATCTAGAACACGTATTCCAAACTGTTGCCGTGTTTGCAGAGTTCTTTATATACTCAAAACTGTGAATGCAACGTTGGGAGTTTTGGTGGGTATCAAAAAAGCGAAGGATGGATAACATGGTGGCAGGAGCAATGCATGTACTGTGAATAAGAACAGCCTACTGTGTGTATACATGAATATTTGTCAAAGAGTTTGAAGAGCAGAACAGTATGGATTTAGGAAAAGAGTCACAAGTGTTAACGTGCCCCATGTAAAAAAGAACATCTTGTTTGTTGTGCAGTCCTTTTCAATCTTCTCACTTCAGATAGGTCATAAGACAAATATCCTTCATTGCCAGCTAGTAACATGGTTGTCCACATCCTTTTGTTTTATTTTATCAGGAATGTTGCTGCATCATTGACCATCACTCCTTAAAGTTCCTTCAAATGTACCTGTAAATCTTTTCACACCGAAACACATTGGAGCCTGTTTGAATGTCTTAGAACATAGCTAAGATAAGCTAATTAGGTACTACACATGTGGGAGTAGACAATTAACAATTGCCTTACCATCAGAATTGGGGTGAAGCAGTGCTGAATGTCTTAAAATACTACTCCTTAGAGTTTCTTATCTGGGCCTGCTCTCCATAGGTATTAAGAGATACTAGAGTCATTGGGATGGAGTAATGTCTATGGCCTGTCCCTCTTCTTGCCCTGCAGACATCTGCTGAGTGTCTGGATTTTGTACTTCTGGTCAGATTTTGTATTTCTCCCTGACTTCCTGTCAAACAATGTGAGCATTTTGAGTCAGGCCAGGTTGCAGGGTTGTAGCATTTCCTAAGAGAAAGACTTTGTGGGATCTAAAGGGTATCCCAGTTCTGAGTCTGACTGACTTGACACCCTCTTGGTAAAACACAAGTGCTCTGTGAAATTGGTCTATACAAACGACGGTGC